TATCAATGTTGTATATAAAGACATTCTGTAGTATATTTAGTATATTCAGGGGGTATCTTTTGAAGATTTCCCCTTCTCGATAATGATCTAAACAAAACAAAAATATACATATTTAGTATCAGCATTGCACCCTTGCGAAGCTGGGGCGGGTCGCTAGTTTGTTATAATGTATGATTTTGATTTAATTATTTTAAGTCGTTTTTCGTGGTGTCGTACCTGTAGGTACTTGTAGTGTAGCTCATCGCTGAGATTTCTGGTTACAAATGTATCCAGGCCGTACCTGTTCAAGATGATGCGGCACATTTAGACGAAGATAGCCACATTTACATAATTATATTCCATTGTATTTTCCCTGTCCTGGCTCAAGGTAGTCGCCGAATATTGTCGTTTATTAAGCAGCAGGTTCTTTATTGTTATGATGTCTCGCGACATTAGTTTAGTCTCGTAGGCGTCGGTCAACTGATGCCAAAGAACAAACGAAAATCGCTACTCACTTCATTTTTTCTCTGTAAAATGCGTCTCTATTTATAATACCTTAAGAGTTTTTTTATTGGATATTAAAGATTAAGATGTTAAATATACTTAAAAATGTAGGGATGAGCTACAAAGATAGAAGAGTGATACTTAGTTTGTATAAAGAGCAACAGGCAGTTATAGAGATGCGGCTGTAACATAGAGAAGAAAATATTAAGAAGGAAGTCAGACAGGGATGCACACTGTCACCGCTACTTTTTAGTCTATACGTCGAAGAAGCGACCAACATCATTGAAGACAGTATAACTGTAGGGATATATATACAGGGTTAAACGATTAGTATGCTTAGATTTGCAGATTATATAGCAGTATTAGCATTTGTATGCTTGCGAACGGTTAATTTAGAAATTCAAAACAGATTTTTAAAGGTCTATGTTTGGAGATCGGTGCTGTACGGGTGCGAAACATGGACAGTGGGCACGGCGGAAAGAAAAGGTTAGAATCGTTAAAATGTGGTGTTACAAGCGAATGATGAGAATACCGTGGATAGAGAAGGTTATAAATGAAGAGATATTAGAAATATTAAGAGAACAGAGGACTCTATGGAGTCAATAAGAAATAGGCGAGATTGGTTGGTTGGTTGGACACCTTCTAAGGCATGAAGGTCTAGTCAGAGACATATTAAAGGCAGAAACGGAAGTTAGAAGGGGTAGAGGTGGACATAGATTAGATTACTGTTAAAGATATGGGTTGTTCTGGTTTTAGGGAAATGCGAAGATTAGCTCAAGATAGGATAGAGTGGAGGTGCGTGTCCAACCAGTCTTAGCACTAGCGACCTTATGATGATGATTATAGATTAGTTTTTATTATTCTCCACTCTATTATAGACAAACGTCTGTACAAAGTACAATTATAATTAAATTTAATGATTAATGTTAACGATGGTTAGAAGTTAATCTACTGACCAGAATAAGTAACGATTTTCAAAACTTCCGCCAAGCATATTATAGTTTAATAGAGTTGTCGATATTACTGACAGAATCGCCGTGCATTAACCATTTATGTACCAACTTATAGGTAGTATATCCATGCGGCTAACCGTAATTAGGAAATAGTTATTTGCAGATAATAAATCATTTCGACTTCGTGTACTATGAGTTAGGTCACATAACGCATTGTAAAGAACATAAACAGTTCTAATAAATACCACACCGTTCATGTGTTGTAACGAGCCTTGTAATTGTTAAATTGTTAAAGGTAACGCTTACCAAAATTTGATTTTTAATTGATAATTAACAATTTAGTAATATGTTTTATTGTATCATGTGCTAATTGCACTATACGATTGCCTAGAATTTTATTTCACACAAAAGTAACTGAATTTTTAAATTCAGATTGTAAAATATACTATACTATAATATGTAATAGTTCAAAACAAACCAAACAAAATTTTTCTAAATTTTGGCGCTCTCTAGGGGTCATGTTGGGTACGTCAAATCTGGCCTTATATATGTTAATATCAATCTATCGACCAAATCTTTTTTGTATGGCATAACTGTAAAAATATTTTCTTTTTAAATTTTATTTTATACTGTATAAAGTGCTCATAAATCTCTAACCTTGACATTTTACTGCAATATTGCACCACGTATTACCATTACTAATAAGATTTATTTCCTATACGTGATAAATTAGAGCGTATGAATTATTTCAACACAAAAATTATGATTATTAGCATGAAATGATTTATTGTTTCGCTATAATTTTCAGTGGATTAAAATACGTTTATTCAAACACAGAGTGGCCATTTCACATTTTGATACAAAAAGAATTTTAAATCTGTTCATATAAAGAAATGCTCTGTAACTAGAATAAAACGAAAACAAAATTGCTGACAACTTTTGTGGTCTACTACTATTCTATTAGGTAAAATTTACTGGTTTGTTTTTATGATAAACCATTCTAAATGTGAAATAATTAAAAGGAATAACATTTATCCAACAAATGTGGCTCTACTCCAATCCCCAAAAATTTTCCATAATATTAATAGGAAAAGTAATTAATGAATCTTAAAACTCTAAAATGCAATTATTACAGTTTTGCCCAATTACAAACTGTTATAAGTACTTACGTAACAAGAACCACTTAAGTAGGTACTACCTTAAATTCTTTAAATCAAATCATCAAACTTTTGTGGTGGTATAAAGTCAATCCCAAATTTATTTAAATGATACATGTGAATTTATGTCTTGAATATTATTGATCTAACGATTACGCAAGGACCTGCCAGGATAATCGTTACAGATACATGCAACGCACACACAAAAAGCCAGAAACGTTTTATTTGAAAGAAATCCATGCACAGGTACGGTAAAACCTGTAAGGTGTGTATTTGGCTTTGAGCCATTACAAAGATCTTTATCTATTAGTAATTTCCAACCAACAACACAACGGTTTCGATTGTACGAGGGTGGATTGATAAGTTTCCGGCCTAACCAAGAGATGACGCCACTAGGCCT